GAGAGAGAGAGAGAGAGAGAGAGCTGCAGCATGCAGCATGTCAGTGGCGGGGAGCACAAGGGCAGGCGCTGACCTCCAACAAACAGAAGAAGTAATTTTATCAGAATACAAGAGTTTTTTCTTTTTGAAATCCAAGTAGAAAGGGTACAGGTTGTGTTTGAATACAACGTGTGCGTTTTCTATTCGAGGAACTCTGCTATTCGAGAAAAGTGGACGGGCGCCGTTTCAATTTCGAAAAGGGACTGTGGCCTCCTCGGCCTCCTATGCGCAGCTACCGGTCCTACGTGGTCCTGGACCAAAACCCATGTGGTCCCATGGGCAGCTACCGGTCCTGCAGTTTCAAATAAGATGCCACCACCCCCTAAACTTCCATGCCTTATTTTTCCAGCCTTCCAACGACCTTATAAAGAACGACGACGAAAAATGTTCCCCGGGGTAAAAACGCACCCCTGACGGGCTGCGAACATTCCCATCTTTTTTGTCTTTTGTGCATCTGGAGATTAGTGCAGTGAGGCCCTTCATCATCTGGTACCCTCAACGGTTTCATCTGGTTCCATTTGGGTTTCAACCCCCCCCCCGGCTAGCTTTACTTCAACGGTCCATGGATTGGTGTACCAACTGAGCCAGGCCCGTTGGTAATTTCGGCGACGATGGGCCTCGCTGCACTACTCTCCAAATGCGTTGGTAATTTCGGCGACTATGGGCCTCGCTGCACTACTCTCCAAATGTGAAAAATGGGAATGAATCTTTCGGTAGAACATGGAAAGATGCACCGGCGTATTTTTTGTCTGTTGTGCATGTGGAGAGTAGTGCAGGGAGGCCCTATGGGAATCCACTCGAGAAATGTGCAAAATGAGAATGAACTTCCCGCTAGAACATGGCCAGATGCAGGCCACATTTTTGTCTTTTTCATTCCACAGTTCGAGAGGGGTGCGGCGAGGCCCTCATTCTGGGGCAAGCAAATGAGTTCTTGTACGTAGAAGATATTTGTGCAAATGAGAACGAATCTTTCCGTAAGACATGGAAAGATGCACCGCCGTAACTTTTGTCTTTTTGTGCATCCCATGAGTGCGACGAGGGCCATCCTGGATCTGGACGAGGATACGCCGACGTGGCGAATAGTCCTTGATGGTACAGGGTATATATATATATTTTTTTTTTTTTTGGGAAGTACAGGGTAGATTAGCATGGCCCGTGAAAGAAAAATCAAATCTCCCTCCCTTGCAGCTTGGCTGGAGTGACAGAGGGAAAAGAGGTGCACAGAAGGAAACGACACAGATCTCGAATTGAGAGTAGTTGTTGCGCGTCTGCGGCTAATCATTGTCGAGTCAAAAAAAAATAAAATAAAAATAATAATAATAATAATAATAATAGTAATCGTCGAGTCGTCCCACGTCTGTGGCGTATGTGGTTAATCATCAGCGTAAGGCGCTATTGCTGATCAATCATGTGATGATCTACGTGCTTGTCAGTTTGTTATGCATGGTCGTCTACAGAAGCACTCACGCTGAGGAATACGATCATACACAGAGAGAGAGAGAGAGAGAGAGAGAGAGAGAGAGAGAGATTTCTCGATGTATGCATGTTGTCGTTGAGCAGGGCCATGCTGATCGTCTCGGTAGCGTTCCAATATGAACGGATGTCTTGAAGGGCGGAGAGAGAGGTAATTTGGGTCAGTATGAATCGTGTTTTAGAAAGAGATAAGAATCAGAGTTTGCGTGGAGATACCTGAGCCCGGTGAGCGTGAACTGCGCTGAGAGAGAGAGAGAGAGAGAGAGAGAGAGAGAGAGAGAGAGAGAGAGAGAGAGAGAGAGAGAGAGAGAGAGAGATCGGCAACGAAGCGACGCTTGGGAGACAAGAGGGAGAAGAGAGGTGGTAGGTGATGGACTCCACCGGTGTTGCAGTGGACAAAAGGGCAGCGTCAACAGAAAGACCCGAGGAGATCCAATCCTCTCCCCCATACCGGCAGCAGCAAGATCCTACTCCTCCCAACATCACCCTAGCAATGGCGTCCTCAACTTCATCATCAACCTCATCATCGACTTCATCAACTGCGTCGAAGGGCGCCAGTCTGCTATCTTTACCGTCCAATTGTCTGGCTCAGATCATCGGATCAACAACGCCAGTCGACGCGTGTAGAGCAGCGTCAGTCTGCAAGGAGCTGGCAGAACTCGCTCAATCTGACTATCTGATTTCCTTTTTCTTACCTTCTAATTACTTGGAGCTATTATCGAAATCTTATCCTTATCCTTATCCTTATCCAATCAGATTAAATAAAGAAAGCGATGACGACCAATCATCACGTCTGCTGCTGAATCACGTAGCAGCACCAGCAGATCGACGGCTGTGTTTCCAAACGTTGTGTAACGGTATCCTCTTATCGAACGGTTGGGAATCATTTCATCTTGAGAGGGGGTCTGGCCTTATCCGTACAAGCTTATCCGTTTTGGATATGAATGTCGCTAGCGGACAAGACCAAAGATTCTGGAAGGTGGAAGAATCTTCTGACTCGCGGTTCGGCCGAGTGATGTATTTGAAAGCCATTCTATTTTTAGATATCGACGGTTCGTGGAAGGTGCAGTTAACCCCGGGGTCATACTCCGTTCGATGGCGGCTCAAGGTGCGCAATCATCAAGGTGGAAGGTGGGGATCTTTCATCGACATGAAAGTTCCCATACACTTCGCTGTACGTTCGTCGGATGGTTCATCTGTTTCTCGAGATCTGGATATGGATAGTGCTCCGTTTAAAGGATTTGAAAAGTGGGCGGAATTCGAAATAGGCGTGTTTGACGTGGCGTCTTATAAAGAAGTTGGAGCTAATTACAAGCCGAGAGGAAGGAGAAGAACTAAAAAAGAAGCAGAATCAGATGGTGAGGCTGGTGATGATGATCTTACGGCGTGGCGTCTTGATCCCATGTCGTGTTGTCCTGATTGCAGGTCGTGTTGTGATGACAATGATTCCACTTGTTGGTGTTATGATGATTCCATTCGTGGGTTGAGGCACAGGCGTAGTACGGAGTGTGATGGAGGTGGTAATGGTGTTGGTAGTGGGGTCGGTGACCCACGTGGGGGTGCACGTGGGAGTTCGCCACGTGGGAGTTCGCCACGTGGGAGTTGGAGCAGCGAGGAGGGAAAGGAAGTAAGAGAGGTGGAGGTGAGTTTCTCCATCTCCCAGCACGATCATTGCTGGAAGGGAGGACTGTTCGTTGATTGCCTCACGCTGGTGCAACTGAAAGGGTGACCTGCTGATTGACTAATGAACTGATTGGTTGATTGGTTGATTGGCTTTGCACGTGGGAGTCCGGCACGTGTCACTTGGAGAAGCAAGGAGGGGAAGGAAGGAAGGAAGAGAGGTCTCGAGGTGGAGGTGAGTTTGTCCATCTCTCCCGGGACGATCATTGCTGCAAGGGAGGACTGTTCGTTGATTGCCTCGCGTTGGTGTAATTGAATGGCTGACCTGCTGATTGACTGAAATGGCTGATTGGTTGATTAGCTGATTGATTGGCTGGTTGGAGTTTTTAAGGCTTCTTCGTCCCCTTGAAACTTCAAGGCTTGTCTGCTTTGTTATAATACCAAGCACGAGGCTGATTGACTAATCGGCTGATCTGATTGGTTCATTGGCTGATTGGCCGAAAAGGCTGATTGACTAATCTGCTGATTGGCCGAAAAGGCTGATTGACTAATCGGCTGATTGGCCGAAAAGGCTGATTGACTAATCGGCTGATTGGTCGATTGAATGATTGGTTGAGTGGTTGATTGGTTGATTGGCTGATTGGCCGATTTGCTGAAGTTTCAAGGTTTCTTCGTCTGGTCGGAGTTTGAAGGCTTGTCTTCTTTGTTACGCTAAGTACAAGGATGATTGGATAATTGGCTGATTGCTCGATTGACTGGTTGGTTGATTGGCTGATTGGCCGTAGGCTGATTGACTAATCGGCTGATTGGGCAATGGACTGATTGGTTGATTGGCTGATTGGCCGAACGCTGATTGACTGGTAATCGGCTGATTGGTGGATTGGCTGATTGGCCCGGTTTGTTGGAGTTTTAAGGCTTTTTTTTTCTTCGTCTCGTCGAAGTTTTAGGACTTCTCTTCTTTGTTATATACCATGTACAAGGCTGATTGACTAATCGGCTGATCTGATTGGTTCATTTGCTGATCCTGATCGGCCGATTTGTTGGGAAGTTAAAAGGCTTTCTTCGTTCCCTTCTAATTTCAATGGAACCCTTCTCTTCTTTGTTATATACCAAGGAAAGACATCGCCGTCTTCGTCTTCTTCTTCGTCTTCTTGTTCTTCTTCTTTGGTGGGAAAACTCGTGGTGGTTGTCTTCTTCTTCTTCTTCTTTGGCGGGAAAACTCGTGGTTGTCTTCTTCTTCTTCTTTGGCGGGAAAACTCGTGGTGGTTGTCTTCTTCTTCTTCTTTGGCGGGAAAACTCGTGGTTGTCTTCTTCTTCTTCTTTGGCGGGAAAACTCGTGGTGGTTCTCTTCTTCTTCTTCTTTGGCGGGAAAAGTCGTGGTTGTCTTCTTCTTCTTTGGCGGGAAAAGTCGTGGTTGTCTTCTTCTTCTTTGGCGGGAAAACTCGTGGTTGTCTTCGTCTTTTTTGGCGGGAAAGGCACGGGAAATTTCACTGGAACCCTTCTATTCTTTCTTCTTCTTTGGCGCCAAGCTGATGATTGCGGCCCTGCGTTGATCTGCGTCAACTCTTTTTTGGCGGTATTTTTTTTTTTCCCGCGCTCCTGCGAGAGCGAACTGTAACTATACGATTATGATTTTTTTATTATGATTATTTTTTGTTAATGTACGATATGATTTTTAGTATTTTTTGACTTTTTTTTCGACTTTTCTTCTGGAATGGGTTGGCCCTAGTATTACACTCCCTGTATCTTCTACCCCGGTTAAGATTTGAACTCGGGATCTGTCCGTCTACAAGTAGTTTTTTTTTTTTTTTTTTTTTTT